ATAAGAGTATTTGTAGTTCGCGCATTGCTGAGCGTTACTTGTTACCCCCCACCCGAGGTAAGGAACAAGTGACTCAGCTCTGCAACGAACACCCCTAATGGTGACGAAAAGATTTCGAAAAATCCCGAAAAGTCCCAAATCAATTCAGAAATCATCTCCTAAAGTTCTACGAAATTTCGTAAAATTCCTTATAATAACAGAAAATTTTCGAGAAATACCGATTAATCACCGAAGAATTTCGTCCCGAAAATGCATACAAATCCGCTAAAGTCCTGAAAGAGTACCGAAATATCGAGCACAGAAATCCGAATCCTGTGACTTTGAAAATTCAGGCGCCCAATTCTAACGCCGACATGTTTCAGCTTAGTATCATCTGCTGTTTACCAAGTCTCTGTCATACCAATAAGACTGATATGCAAATCCAGTATTAGATTCTCGGGGTATCCACATCAACTTTTGATAAGCATACTTTGAAGAGTTCCGTCCCGCAGCATCGGCGGATAAGCAAGAACTGCCTTTTTCGAAAGAGCTACTGGTTCCTGATATAACCCGAAAAAATGCTTGCAGGGTTAGCCTCAAATTGGTAGCTCCTCCGCTCTTTAATTTTATATTTCTATGCCTTTTCGTTTTCCGGGTACTCTGGATAAAAGTATTGCAATCGATCATGGGCAGTTATATGACTCCGTCTGTTGTAGGCTCCAACTAGAAATAGCTGAATGCATATTCAAAATATTTGTCTGTTTTGTGGACTTCACGAGTTGCTGAGGACTAATTCCTTCTGAGAGCGACGAAATATATTTTATATAATTCATTTCGGCCACAATGCCAATTATATATAACCAATTGAAAGCTTGTTACACCTCATCTATGGGGAACTGCTTTCAAACTTTTAAAAAGATCACTCCAAACTTTAAGGCAGATTTGGATGAGGAGCTTTTTCAACTGAACTAAAGGCTTGAAACATCATTTTTACTTCTCATCCACAGCAGTTTACATCTGGAGGAAGTATTGAGCACACAGAATGCAGTACGTAGCCGCGTTCAAAGGCCCACAGAGATGAAAGAAGTCTTCACCTTTTAGGATTAAACTCATATGTATACCACAACAGGGTATTGAGAGTAATTGCAAAACGAAGGTGTTGACCAAGGAAATTAAGACACCGCCATCCCTCTGGGAAAGGACGCAATAGGCATAGCCTAAAGCTACAAAGAAGTCCGTAATGCAGATAGATATTTAATCCTTATTGAATTCGCCTTAATATAAATTATCAAATATTTTAACTTTACATTTAAATGGCATGCTGTGATTTATTTAAATCTTATTTTAAAATAGGCTGTAGAGCTCTTTTAAACACGTTTCGTTTGATATCCGTACTGTTATATTACATAAGTAAATATTTTGTTTGAGCACCCTTTTTGTATTTTTTTTTCGAAAGGTGGCAGCCCTATTGAAATTTATTTCTATATTAAATTTTTTTAATAATTCTCTGTGAATTTTTTTTATATTTAAGATATCTGGCAACACCATTTTTCAAAATTTACAAACCTACCGACCTACACGTAAACTTTGATTGTTTTTCTTCAAAATTCTATAGCTCAGAGGAACTTTATGGTCTAATCATGGTCATGGGGTTTCTGCAGCATAGAATGCTCTAAAAAAGGTAGTACGGGTCACTAAACCTAATATTTTTCTGAAAATCCCGTTCTTTTGCGCCTATCCCGTAAATAACAAGAGATACTGAAAAATTGCTAATGACAAACTTGTGGGCCATTCCATTTCCTACGAAAAAGTTCTAGAACAATAAATCGTGAACATCGATATTTCTTGAGATATTGGGCTTTGAAGTTGCTCAACAATTTCTATATTTTAACTTTAAAAATTTTTGAAATCGGGCTAAAGTTACGCCCAGTTTTCATATAACGGTAAATTTCAGAAATGCTAAAACTTCTATATTTCGAAATTTAGGGACGTTTATTTACTCAAAGCTAATGCTCACAACAATCTCTTAAAAATTATAACATATAATATATAATAGGGAATTTTGGAAAATGAGCGTGGCATTTATGATTTCGCAAGTGTGAAAAAAACTATATATGTATGTATATTTACTACGCTTATTATTTTTAAAATATTGACCCAGGGAATTTTTTCTAACAAACAAATCGTAGTTCAAAGCGCAATAGCACTATTGGAATTTTTCTTAATGTTTGCAAAATTTTATTTTTTACCGCTAACATTTAATAAAAATGTAGTTTATACTACAACAAAAGGCATAGAAATAAAATTTCTTAACTGTGTGCAAAGTTTTGGAAATTTCAATAAACAAATTTGCAACTTTGTAATACAATTTTTTAGAAAAATTTTTAAAATTAAATTTCAAGTTAGAATTTTCTAAAAAAATCGTGTTGATTTTTGGCAATTTTCTTGCTGACAGTGTTTGGAAAAACATAAACACACTTTTGAATTGTTCGATAGAGTTAACCACTCCGTTGGAGCTGTGTTGTGTATCCTTTTGACGGACGACAGAGAGGCTGTGGACCATACAGATTTCGTTAACAGCCATGTTTTGCGAGAACGTCAAGTATCTTATGGCCATCAAAACTCTCACGTGCAGAAAATTTTATAATCGGTTCATCACCAAAAAGTCTTTTTTTCTATTTAAGGCAATGAAGCCATAATAATCAGTAATAATTGAATTGTAGAAAGTTGTTTTATTATGATTACTATGCATGGACTTATTCCACTTTCAAAAAAAAAAAAAAAACATTTTGCGATAAATTTGTGTAGCTAAGTTTCTTTTGATGACTTTATCAAGAAATCGACCTTCATTGAATTTATGATTACTAGTATAAAAGGGGGATATCTGTGTATTGCTAAAACTACAACTAACTCATTTAGTTCTAAAACCGAATTTATACAACTTAAAAAAACGGCTCTTATAAAGATTTGTTTTTTTTTGTCTTATCAAAAAATTGGCTCGGAAATGTAGATGCTAAGGACTATTAGTAAAAAACAGTGTGAGTACCAGTTCATCAGGTCTTGAAATTAGACGCAAATTTTAGGAAATTTCATGTAGTTTCCGAGCATGTAATTGGATCGCTTCGCGATATGCAGTTTTTGATATGCTTAATTTTTCGATTTTCAGCTTCTTTTTCTGTCATTTTGCGAACAATGGAAAAATTACACCAAAATAGGGAAAATTAAAAATATTTCCTACTATGTAATTTTTAAACTTTGTTTTCTTAAGAGTGGAAGGCAGAAAACAAAATTTAACATAAAAATTCTATCACATCTAATGTTGAATCTTGCGAGTTTCAGACGTTATAGTGATCCAATTTGCCCCATGTTTAATATTTAGCTTTTTCTAATAAAAGAGAGAGCAAGAAATAATTAATTAATTTAATGTTTCTGCCCTCGAGAGTGGAAGGCATGGCAATTAGCTGATCTTTACCATATTTCATAATTCCGTTTTCCTAAGAAGAATTAAAGAATTCGGTACTTTCCACCTGCCTTCATATATGTAGTCGAAACACTGTGCAGCTCTTTGCAAAACAGTCTTTTTTACTGCGGGGATATGTATACACATTAGGGTGATCCAAAAATGCATGTCGAAAAAGTAAAGTCGAAATTTTTATGGTCTCGCCTCCTAGCATTGTTCTTTACCGACAAAACATTTCTTTATTTTGAAATCAAAAAAATATTTAGAGGTCGCTCAAAGCCCTTAAAATTGTCCAAGTATTTTATATGGGAAAAAACAACTTTTCGTAGAAAAGGTATAGAATTCTTAAATATCAATATTTTTAGATCGAAAAACTCTGCTTCTCTGCAAGAGAATCCTAGTAATAATAACCGATTTTTTCCTTAACCATTTTTTCATAATAACTATATATTATAGGTCCGCTAAATACCCCAAAAAATGCAATGGGGGAAACAATAAAAAATTTTTAGTATCAAAAAATGGTTAAATAAACAATTGGGTATTATTATTGGAAGTCTCCTGAAGAGAACCAGAGTTTCCCGATCGAAAAATGAGCCGCTTATTTTGATAGTGGCATAAGTCACTTCCGACCTCTTGTGTTCAAATGACCGGCAACTTGAAACCGAATGCATCTCTAAATCGCTACATTGTAATAAACTAACAATAAAACCTTCTACCTTTGGCTGATGAAGTTGAACGAATAACCGACGGATACAAGCAACCGGTCATTTAAGCACAAGAGGTGTGAAGTGATTTATGCCACTTTCAAAGTAAACGGCTCAAATATAGATTTTCAAGAATTCTATATCATTTCTACGAAAAGTTGTTTTTCCCATATAAAATGCGTGGAAAACGTTGAGCACTTTGAGCGACCTCTAAATATTTTTTGATTTCAAAATAAAACATATAGAGAATATTTTTTCGATACAGAACAATGCTAGGCGGTAAATGCATTAAAATTCCGACTTTATTTTTATTTTTTTTTTGACCACCCTAATATGCCTATGTAGTTATATATATTGGGGCTTGCTCACAAACATTCGCCGCTATGAAAATAAGATAAAGTTACGCTTCACGTTGTTTCCTAATTGAACCGGTACAATCCAAAATCAGTTTTTCGTTGTTGAGATAACAACAACATTGCACGTCACAACAACGAGATACTGATTTTGGACTTGTACGGCTGTCGTACTCACCGATTCAATTTATCATAAACACGTTTCCCAGCAATAAAAAAGTACATAGTTTTTATTATTGTTAGTTCAAACCCAGCTAATAAGTTCAAAATCATCTCTATGTGAACAAAAAGTTGCGAAAATATATCTTATGTAAATAAATAAAAGCTATTGCCCTATAAAAAGTGTGATAAAAATCTATGGTAATAATCTTTAGACTGACAAACTGATAAGATTCAATAAATCATGCGCGAATCGTATACCAAATTTGATTTAAAAGCCAATGCAATTTTGGTATCCATTTTTAATTAAAAAATCAACTCCGAGCAGTAAAAACACCTGAGAAAATGTGGGCGATGCATAGATTGTACGGGCCTTTGTTGTTCTTCGCTGCAGCGCTAGGACCACAGCCAACATGGCAGGTACCGCAGTGTAGGAAGAAAAAAAGTATATGAAAGGCAAAAAATTGATTTGGCATTGAATTAAATTGACAAGGTCTACAAGTATTGCCTTCAAGTTCACACTTCTTAACCAAATTTTTATCAACATTTTGGCACTAACTTTTATCCTCTCGCTCTTACAGCTTTCTCTGCCCAGCGATCCCACATATTACGCCGGCGTTGTTGAGTTCATGGCAAGCGAGAACGAAGGATCCGCCAAAGCGAGTGACAGTTATAGTCGTATGAAAGCCGTAATTGAATCGAATAGCACACGCGATTTAGACATCTTAATCTTTCCCGAGTACGTACTGAACGATGGTTCCTTCCGCACCTATGTGCCTGATCCGGCACTAAATATTGCACCATGTGAAATACCAAATTCGGAGTTTTTTCTTACTGAACTTTCGTGCCTCGCACGTTCACGTCAAATCTATTTGGTCGTCAATGTAATCGAGAAATTCTTTTGTGGTAATGACACCAGCGTGGTTGGCCGCTGTGAAACAAGTGGCCTCAATACATACAACACGAATGTGGTGTTCGACCGACAGGGGCGTGTAATATCGCGTTATCGCAAAACTCATCTATATCGTTCCGAATATTATGGTGAAAATACGTTGCCGCAGCCGCAAATTGCTACATTCACCACAGATTTTGGGGTGACCTTCGGTCATTTCATTTGCTTCGATATGCTTTATTGGGCACCGGCAGCGGTGTTGGTGAAGGAACTTGGTATTACAGATATTATCTACCCGACCTATTGGTACGATGAGTTGCCTTTCCTCACCGCCGTACAGCTGCAAGAAGGTTGGTCCTTTGCCAACGACATCAACTTGCTTGCCGCAAATGCCAATCACCCGAGTGGAGAAAACAGTGGCTCGGGCATTTATGCTGGTCGTTTGGGCCGCCTTACGGCAGTCATAAACGAAGAATCCACCACCATATTGCTCACCGCTAGCGTACCCAAGCGCGCCTATCTCGACAGCTACGTTGTGCCACCAGTAATACAAGCCACTTTTGAGCCGCAAATGCAAACACCACGTTTCACCAAACTCGCTCTGCAGCGCGACTATAACGTGGATATTTTTACTACGGTGCTGCTATCAGAGGACTTTACGACGACCAATGAGACACTGTGCTACGATAGTGAGTTCTGCTGTCATTTCCAGGCGACTCGTACGGCAGTCGCAGGCAACTCGAGTGCTTACGAGGCCTATCGTTACCGATTGGCGGCTTACAGCGGCTCGCGCGCAACACATCAACGCGTCGATCCGGCAGCTTTGAAGGTTTGTGCTGTACTCGCGTGTACCAATGACCAGTTGTACAGCTGTGGGCACATCTTTCCCGCAAATGTGTCGGTCGCTAATAAATACTATTTTGACGTGTTGAATGTGAGCGCGTCCTTTCCGCTTGCTACGCGGCGGGTAATTATGCCGACCAGTGTGGATGGCACTATGTTGCCGCTGCCGGTGCATACGTACGAGTGGCAGGAAGTGGAGAGGTAGTAAATGCAACAAAATTAAAAAAAGAAATTTAAATAATCCCCATATTTTCAACAATTTTTTTTAGCACAAATGCCACCGCCATTTCGATCAGTCTCACATATCCAAAGCTGGACATACTAACCTTTGGAATTTGGGGTAATTATTACACAGAAGTAGAAAGCAATCATAATTTGGACCCTGTGTGGCAGCCAGCGCAAAGCAAGAATTCTGGAGCTGCGTTTGTTGGTGACGTAGGACGCCTGTTAGCTCCACTCCTATTGGCAGCTGTTATCAAGCTGATCTAAGTAAACATAACGACCAAAAAATTTCAATAAATATTTATTCGTAAATTTTAAGTAGTCTCTTGAGAGATAAAAAATAAACTTTTTTATGTACACTCACCAGAATATGTTTCCGTACATTATTTTTTTTTAATATTTGCCATGTTTTTCGTAATAAATTTTTTTTCGTTAATTTTTATTAGAAATATAGTTCATTCTGCATGATTCAAAGTTTTTACAAAATTTAGGAAAATTCGACAAATTTTCACCAAAATTTTCTACTTTTAAACAAAATTTTTTAGAATTTTTTCGCTGATGATGTTGCTCATTTTCATATAACGGATGCATGGTACAATAATTACAGGTATTGTCTTCCCAGAGAGCGCATATTCGATCTGCCTTATTTGAAAAAAAAAACACTGTACGGAAACATACTCTGGTGAGTGTATGTAAATATTAATATTTTTAATTTCTTAACACATTGGCGCAGATAAGCACATACACCTGTGAATGACTTCGCACACATTTCGCAACATCTTTTATTTGCAGAAGGCAAATATGCACCCATGACTTGGCGCAGAAAGCGCGCAAAAAAAATGAAAATATTTTTGGCCGATACGATCATTGATCGCGATAAATATTTGTACGTTTTTCTTATTTAACAATTACATTATGAAAACTGCTTCAAAAAGGGTTACATCGATCCAATCAGGCAGCATTACAATCAGTCACTTATTGCAGTTCACTCCCTAAAGATGGATTTTAGCTGGTCGTTGGTTTTATTCTTCATCGCAGCACCGGTGCTGACTTTACAGGTATGTAAAAAAGTCCAACGATAGACCGGAAACAAAACTGAAACAAAAACTGCTCAAGATCCCTGAATATCTTCGAAATTCCTCACAGCATCACTAAACTTTCATTGAATGAACAAGGAAAGAGTCTAAAACAGAGTTTGAGGAATCAAGTCAAAAACTCGAAGTCCGCTATAGTTTCTTCTATACTTAAAATAAAGAAAAGCCGTTATTTTCATCTTCGCTAGATGAGCAAATGACTCGAAACTAGCTGTGGTTATTTTTGAAGACATAACGACTCACATAATATGAGGTCGACGGACGGTAATACTCAGTCACTTCAGGGTCGAGCAATATTGGAGGTGACGGAGCTGGTGAGCAACAGTGACACGATTGCTCCGGTGCATCACCTAATCATTTCTGACAACGGTGCGAGTACTAGAGGCGGCTGTTGGGAGCACTAGTGAATCGCCCAGTGGTTTCTGTTAACTGTGAGAATAACGGATGCCACACCGTTGGGTGCTCCGGTGCATCACCTAATCATTTCTGACAACGGTGAGAGTACTAGAGGCGGCTGTTGGGAGCACTAGTGAATCGCCCAGTGGTTTCTGTTAACTGTGAACCCTTGCTCCGGTGCATCACCCAGTGCTTTCTGACAACGGTGAGAATACTAGTGGTGGGTGCTCGGAGCACTAGTGAATCGCCCAGTGGTTTCTGTTAACTGTGAGAATAACGGATGCCACCGTTGGATGCTCTGGTGGATCATCCGGTGGCTTTTGACAATATCGAGAGGACTGGTGGCGACCGTCAGATGCACTGGGGATCGTCTGGTTACTCTCAGCAATGATGGCGACATACGAACGGTACTGCTGATAGGATCCGCGACTTTAATTGTTAAAGAGAGATACTCCACCGAAGTTGAGGGAGTTCTGGTTCCAGATATCTTAGCGAGTTTAATAGTCAAAAGTTGGTAAGACGGATTACAATCGCTAGGATGGTGAAAATCTCTCTTGAAAAACTTTTCTCTAAATTTGTTGTATTATGTTGCTTTGACCAGTGTTTGAACCCAGGCCCTGCGGAGTGGAAGCGCGCACTGCTTACCACGACAACACAGCGGCCGCCGAGAGAAGCTCGGCCAAACACTAACATATGTGTAAGCGCCAACTTATTATAATTCACCTTTTATACCTTCTTTGATGAAATTATCTTCTACATATGCTATACTTCATTCCCCGATTTTTCAAAAAATCAAAATTAGCGAACAGTGCAGGACAGTCTTATCAAAACCGATCAATACAGGTATAGAAATTTCGAACAAAATATCCGCTTTGGTCTTCCAAAATTGACGTCACACTATGGGGAATCGGAAATGTTTCAGTAGGAGAATTTCGCACAGAGTTTGCTTCGCATATTTTTTCACAGCGCATACCAACCCACCGTATGTGCAATAACCCGGTGGCTATGACTGATTAGTTATAAAGTGATTAGCCTTCGTCCAACCTTTTCCGGTTTTGCAAGTTTGCAAGATGAACTCCTAACACCTTATAGTGACCCTGATCGCGAGGTATGGGTATCCCCACACGGTTAACGATTTTTACGCTGAATTTTTGTATGGATTTCGGAAAGCTAATAAGGTGCATTTTTCACAATTAGTTTTTAAATTATACCCACTGATTATTGATACTGAAAATATATTCCAAATGAGATGATCTATAGAGCAATCCTATTTTAGTAGACTACGGATTACATCAAGCGATTTCACTTCGCTTTCCCTTCATCGGAACTCCGTTACCAATAAAACCCTTACACTTCTTCTTAAGAACTTCTCTTCTTTATTTTCAGCTCTCCTTGCCCACAGATCAAACCTACTATGCCGGTGTCGCAGAATTTATACCACCGCCCGGCGCAGGTCAACCGAAAGTGAAGGATGGGCTGAAGCGCATCAAAAGCGTCATCGAATCAAATAGCACAGATGGCCTGGATATACTCGTATTTCCCGAATATGTGCTGAACGACTACTCCACACTCACTTATGTGCCGGAGCCAGCGCTTAATATTACACCCTGCGATGTACCGGATTACGATTTTTTTCTTTCCGAATTGTCCTGTGCCGCACGTTCGCGCCAATTGTATTTGGTGATACACGTAAAAGAGAAGGTATTCTGTGCCGATAATCCTCTCCCCGTGGGGCATTGTAATGCCAGTGGAATAAATACCTACAGCACAAGTGTGGTCTTTGATCGGCAGGGTCGTGTAATTTCACGTTATCGTAAAAGCAATCTCTTTCGCTATGAATGGTATACTGTGAATGTTTTGCCCCAGTCACAGCTGGGCGTATTCAGCACCGATTTCGGTGTGACTTTTGGCCATTTCATTGGTGTTGATTTTCTCTTTTGGCAACCGGCGCAAGCGTTGGTTAAGCAGCTAGGCATAACAGATTTGATAAATCCAACGCATTGGTTCAATGAGTTGCCTTTCCTAACCGCTGTACAATTGCAAGAAGGCTGGGCTTTTGCCAACGATGTCAACTTGCTTGCCGCAGATGCGAGCAGTCCAAGTAGCCAAAATAGCGGCTCGGGTATTTATGCTGGACGCTCGGGACGCCTTGCAGCCGTCATCTGTGAGGAACCTACTACACAGTTGCTTACCGCGAGAGTGCCGAAACGCGCCTATCGGGACAGTTATCAAATGGTAACGACAATACAACCCGCCTTTGTGCCACAACTTCAAACGCCACGTCTCACCAAACTCGATCTGCAGCGCGACTATAATGTGGATATTTTTAAGACGCAGCTGTTAGAAGCTGATTTCACGTCGGTTAATGAAACTCTCTGCTACGATAGCCATTTCTGCTGCCACTTTCAAGCGAAACGCGCACCGGTTGCCAGCAGCGCGAGTACCCACACGGCTTATCGCTATCGGCTGGCTGCTTATAGCGGCTCGCAGGCTACACTCCAACGCATTGAAACAGCGGAATTGAAAGTTTGTGCTGTGCTCGCCTGCTCGAATGGGCAGTTGTACAGTTGTGGACGTATCTTTCCCGAGAATGTGTCAGTTGCTAATAAATACTATTTTAGCGCGTTGAAAGTGAGCGGAAAATTTGCGCATGCGCCACGACGTCTCATTATACCGACTAGCGTGGATGGCGCTATGTTACCGCTGCCGGTACACATGTACGAGTGGCAAATTGATGAGAGGTTGTATGACTTCCAATAGTAATAAACATTATGTTAAATTTGTTTCTTTGATTTTTTAGGAATAAAATTACAACTGTGTCCATTAGTTTAAGATCGCCAAAATTAGATTTGCTCACTTTTGGTATTTGGGCCAACTATTTCATCGAAAAAGTGAGCCAACATAATTTGGACCCTATATGGCCACCAACTCAGCCTGTGAGCTCTGCTGCTACCTCGCTAAGCGGTTTTCAGCTTATAACAGCATTGTTGTTGCTGGTGTCTTTCAAAAAAATCAAATGAAAGGAAATGAAATTAAATTAAATGAACTGTAATAAAAAAATTAAATAAAGTTGAATTAAATTAAACTAAAATAATAAGAATAAAGTATAATAAAGCAAAATAAAATAAAATAACATAAAAGATGGAAAAAATAAAGTAAAATTAAATTGAATGCAATAAACTAAAAAAAGATAACTTAAATTAAACTTAATAAAATAAAGTAAAATAAAATAAAATTAAATAAAATAAAATAAAATAAAATAAAATAAAATAAAATAAAATAAAATAAAATAAAATAAAATAAAATAAAATAAAATAAAATAAAGTAAAATAAAAATAAAATGAAGTTAAGTGAAGTAAAATAAAATAAAATAAAATAAAATAAAGTAAAATAAAAATAAAATGAAGTTAAATGAAGTAAAATAAAGTAAAAATAGAATAAAATAAATAAAGTACTATTGAACAATTTTTGGGAAAAACAAACAGTATATATGTAAATGGTAGAAGTTATAGCTGCGGATTTGAACCAGCGACTCCAGCTTACAAAGCCAGCGGTCTGCCCACTGAGCTTAGTTCGCCATGCAGATTGTTGTTCCGTGTTTGAAGCTAAAAAAAATGTAATATGATTTGTTATAAGGCCAATAAAAGCAAACAAAAAAGAAATAAAACAATATATAATAAAATAGTAAAACAAAAGAAATTTTTCTGCGTGTACTAAAATTATATTTTAAATATTATATTAATACATATGTATGTACATATATATGTATATGTAATGCTTTTGTTAATATACATATGTATTTCATAAGATTTGTATGTATCTATTTCAATGTCATATTTTTTGTTTTTGACAAACCATCTATGTAAGTAGTTTCATTTAAGCGTTTGAATTTATTGAAACTGAAAACATTACTTTTATAGACAATTCTAATTTAACATATTTTTTGCCAAAGTATGTGTTTTGAAAATTTTACAATTCGGGTTTTCCTTACAAAATGTTAAGAATTTAAAATTGTTTATTTAATAATTTAATCAAAGATTTGGAGTACATACATAAATACGTACTGTCCTAAATAATATAATTTTTATTTTTTTTTATTTTTTTTATATTAGCAAGGAAATGTTTAAATAAATCTCTTGTCCAAGTTTTTCAGCTGTTTTCAATTTATAAAACTTTATTATTTCTTATTTTGAATATTTGTTTCAATCATTTAGTACCACGTTTGCCGAGCTTTGCTCTGAATGCATACACTTTTTAAATTTTTCAAGAAAGGGGTAATGCTTAATTGGATAGCTGTAATATTGTAAATGGAATTTCTGATTTAACATTACGCGTATACAAGTTATGTCGATAAAAAAATATTATTAATGCGTTAATATAAGCCTAATAAGTACCTCAGTGAAACAAAATTAAAAAAAAAAAACGTTGGAAAAGTAATTCAACAATTTTTATTGAGCTTGTGAATTCTGCAAAAAAAGAATGTTTCTACAACAAATTAAAAAAAATTTACTGAATTTAAAGAAATATATTTGATATTAAAAATTATGTGGAAACCCTATTAAGAACTGCATACACATATATACTTACAAAAGAAATCCTCGTAGAAATCAATAAGATAAAAATTGGCATTAAAAACGTGTCAATCAACCTTCAATGAATATATTTATTTATTCAAGTTCTCAAAAATACCTTTCATTTGATATCCATATTAAGCTATTTTAGTAAAAATTTTTAGAATCCAAAAAAAAGTGGCAACCTTACACTAATTTCTTAAGGGACAATAATTACTATATAGGCAATGCATTATTTAGGAGCTTTCTTTTAGCACCCTTAAAAGGTAATATTGTATCTTAATTTTCTAAACAAAAATTCAAGTAAATATACGATAGAAAATAGGTGGCAACCCTATTCAAAAATATTTCTAAATTTGGAAAATTTCAAAAAACGTTTCATTTTATATGTTTTTTATTAAGTGTTATTTAGTTTGTAACTAATTTCGAATAGGTGGCAACCTTATACGACTATTTTCGGAGATAACACCTTACTGAAGTTTAAAATGCAATACATTACCTGAATACGAAATTTCCGCAAAATCGTTTTTTCAGAAGTACTTTTCCCCCGGCTTCCCCATCTTTTAAGGGGAAAAAACGATATTTTCCCTTACCCGATTACTTTTTTCATTCTTTCGCAGTTTCCAAAATTTTCGCAAAATACTTCGCAGTCTACTCCCGTGAAATCGCAAAACTGCCGCATAACTGTCGAAAAAATGTATTAGGTAATTAAGAATTTTTCTGCAGCGTATTCACCTGCACACACATAAACGGAAATTGCAGCATGCAACAGTTTCCTTGTGCTTTACGGGCATACAAGTGTATTTCAAAATATATGTACATAGCTACCTGTTAGGAAAATATACTGCTTACAAAGTTATGAGAGAGTGCCTTTGGACTGGATAATAACAAATTTATTTATATAGGATGCATTATGCTTTACAACGGCAAAACTGCACCTTTCTGAAAAAGATACATATACTTTCGACCAGAAGTTAGCTTTTGTCTCTTAAAAACTTTTAAATTAGTCACTTAATGAATTGTTAAGAAGCTGCGCTAAAGTGTTCAAATACCTACAGGGATGAACTACCATACATAGTATACGGAGGTTAGTGAAAGATACGCAATTGAAGGCTTGTGGATATATTTTTTTGTCTCTAGATATTTTTCTACAGGAATACCGCTGTGTTGCTTCGTATGTATATTTGTTAGTTGTTTTTTCTTTATTTTTTTTTCAACTTTTTAGGTGCGCTACTATTTTAAATATTTTTTTCTTTTTCCTCCTAAGCTAAATGTTGTTGTGCCTTTCTGGTTACTAAGCCTTTAACGGAAATTACTAGAGTGTTGCTGGGAATTGCAAAAAGTTGAAATTAGAAAATCACACTCATGTTCGTACGTAAATACCGATGTACATTAGGGTAGTCCAAAAATGCATATGCAAAAGTAAAGTCGGAATTTTAATGCCGTCACCCACCAGGATTGTTCTATACCCAAAAAAAATATACCCACATTTTTTTTATTTTCAAATCAAAAGATATTTAGGAAGTGCTCAAAGCGCTCAAAGTTTTCTATGTAGTTTATATGGGAGGAAAACAACTTTTCGTAGAAATGTTATAGAATTCTTGCAAATCAATATTTTTAGATCGGAAAAATCTGGTTCCCTTCGGGAGACTTCCAATATTAATATCCAATTGTTTATTTAACCCTTTTTTAATACTAACGATTTTTTATTGGTCCCCTATTGCATTTTCTTATTTCATATTTCTAAAATATAGCTACCATGAAAGAATGGTTAAATAAACAATTGGGTATTATTATTGGGAATCTTCTTAAGAGAACCAGAGCTTTCAGACTGAAAGATATTGATTTTCAAGAATTCTATTTTTTCCCGCACATAAAATACATGGAAAACTTTGAGCAATCCCTAAAAATCTTTTGTTTTCAAAAAAAAAATTACCGTTGTTTTTCGGTACAGAGCAATCCTAGGGGTTGGCGGCATTCAAATTCCGACTTTACTGTTTGTGGACCACTCTAATGTACATACTAGTAAAATCATACATATTGAACTTAGTATACATACATACATATGTATGTGTTGTAAGTGCAAGTCCTAAACTAACCTTCTACTCACTTCCACGACTCGAAATAAATATAAGGTTGAAATTTTGCATTTAAAAAATGTTCAATGTGTTTTTATTGGCAAAAGGAAAATGAGAATGATATTTGATTGCATAATTGGTAATTCGAAAATCGTTTTAAATTGAGCATGCAATCAAAAAGAGAAAACGAATTGGAATTCAATTACTACGCTACTCACTAAAGTAAATAAGGTCGAAATACGCGCATGTTTTTAAACCAATTTTCAATAGAAAACTACTAAGCTTTTTAGGTAATTGGAATTGATAAGCGTCACTTTTGGTTGTACATACAGTGTAAGAAAGTATCAATTTTAAAGCACTTTTTCAATTACTGACGATGGCGTTATTAAAACAGACGTAATCTGCGAACTACCCTAACTCGCCAGCGTTTATTTAACAAGGTTATTTTCAGTGGCAAAAAAAGTATAATTTAAGTAAATTTATTAACTTATTTTTTTTTATTGAGCTTGACACCGTTATTACTGAAAATTTTTTGTGAAAAACAACACTAAAAATATTTCAAATAAATCGTTACTAGGCCAGAAAATAACAGAAAAAAATATAGAATTTTTTTTATGGAGCTAAGGAGCAAACTAATTTTTTAGCTCTTTGCTCCAGCTGCGCTCAAGCTAAAATTCTTTGCTCCTTAGCTCCTTGCTCCTTGCTCCTCTCCGCTCTCTCAGCGGTTTCTGGTACCCGCCGTCCATACACACTCCCAGCTCGGAGGTGGCGATTGCTTTCGCTCCCTAATAGGTAGAACATGAATAGCATTGACTACCACATAGAACCTGTTGAGTCTCCGCAGAGTATATCGCCGGCTGAGTGGAGGAGGAGGATCGACTTATCTTGGCAGCCAGTGCGAAAACGCCCTCAGAAAATTTTTCAAGAACGTCCTATTTCAGAATTTTGTTGAATTACTCCTTATTAGAATCCGAAAGCTTTGAAAACGCCCAATCTCAACATATTTTCAAATCATAACATAATTCAAATTCAATTGTTCAGTTCACTCAAGTTCTGAAATAGGGCGTTCTTCAATCAAATTCTGAAGTAGGGTGTTCTTGAAAGCTGTTCCGAGATGGGGCGTTTTGGAACCGGCTGCCGAGTTCTAGACTTTTATAAAAAAAAATACATAAACATTAAATAAACAAAAGAAAAATAGCCAAACCTGGTCAAAATGTCACTTAACTTAATCAACTGACCACAAGGGTACATTGTAAAAACCGTCTGTAAAAATTTACGGGCCCTAAAAATCTTCTCAGCTTGATAGAATATTCGTTGATTTAAAAAAATAAGTAATTCACATAATATGTTATATTTTGCAACGTTTATAATGAAGTAATATTTATATGTTTAGCTTTTATCTTAAAATTTTTTTCAAAACGTTATTTGTATAAGAAAACTCATCGGAATCAGCCACATCGCCCACCGAAATGTGTCCGCTGCGTCCTTGCTATGATTCTCATCCAAAAAATAATTGTCGTATATGCCAAAAGTCAAGAGATCTGAACGCGGTTGGAGTAAAGTGAGTTTGGCCAATGAAATGTTGCTACTAAAAAAAAAAAAAAAACAAGAAGAAGTAAATCAAACGTAGTGACAGAAAACGTAGTCCAATTGCATCACTCACCTATACTCCTGCACCTGCCATTCGAACTCGTCCACCGTCAACGGCATGAGCAACTGATTTACACTCGTCGGTGTCAACAAGCTCGTACTTCCGCGCGTAAAATTGCCGCGTATGCGAACCTCATCAAAGCTATACTGCGGCACCACTTCCACCGATTCGTAATAGATGCGTCCACAAGTGTATATGTGATCGCCAGTGCAAGAAAGGATCGCACAAACCGCCACCGCATTAGGTTCAGTGTTGAGAAACGAACCGATGCCACGAAAAGCAGCCATTCGATAGTAGTAGCTGGTGGTGGAAGCATTCGCTAGCGGATTCACGCTTCGTTTAATATAAAAATCGCAACATAAATCATTATGGCAAATTTGTTGTTGCAACGCCATATTATTGGTCACCTCATTCGGTATCGGTACAGTCACATACAAATCGATATCATTGCTACGCGCTAACACAACGCCGGTGAAGCGATCGAGCACGCCGCTGCTGCTGTCGCGCTGAGTTTGATTTTGCTGCTCTTTGAGGCTATTTTGGTTAATCCTTAGGCTTTCCATGACTTTTCTGTTAGCAACACTTTGCTTAGGCACTACACTTAGATGCAACTTACTCTGAGTTTCGTCACTGGTCATGGAGGCAGTAAGCGCGCCGTATTTTCCTGCATAAATACCACTGCCGCTGCGGCCATTACGTGGATCGTTGGTGCCTGCAACCAGCAGATTGACATTGTTGCTATATGCCCACGACTGATGCAGTTGAACGGCTGTTTGAGGGAGAGATTAATGGGGTTTTAGGTGGAGCAAAGACTTTTGCAAAAAAAAAATTACGCGGAGGACGAAGGGACGAGCCGATACGCAACAAATATTCAAATGATACAATGTGCTATCTCTAAATAGCTAAGAGACCCCCACTGAAGATTGTCCACCACCGGCCTTTCCTGCCTATCTCTTTGAAGCTTGCGTTCGTTTGGTTGTTAGTTGGTTTCAAGTTACTTCCTGTGGTTGATTATATTGCTTCAGGCCCAAAGTGGAATCGTATGAACAAACTTAAAAAAAAAAAACATACTCAATGTTGAAATTGAAAGAGGACGTGATTGCCTAGATGAAGCCTGACCTCCGTCGTCCAGGTGGTAAAGGCGGTTGGGGAGGAGGTTTGGCTCTTTTCAGTGAAGAAGCGAGCACATTCGGAGAGGTAGCCGTTTACTTTCAAGCAGAGGTCATCAATTCCGTTCTCAGACGCCAATATTGAACATTCGTCTGTGTATGAGATCAGGGAAATTCCCTGCTATGGTATATCAAGCTTCGAAATATAAAAGTTAAACAGTAGGGGAGCGCACTTGATGTTTAATTGTTATAGGCTATGATGTTTATTCTCAAAAGGTTACTGACGACTGCCGACCACTCATATACTTCTTCGACCACCGTTTGAGTCCCCGTTAGTGGAAGGAACCTTAAATGTTTTCCAGTGGCGTGGAGTGACAAAGGGTGTCAAACACCTTTGACAGGTCCAACGCTTCTGGGACTGTTCTCCCATGTGGGCGGTTACCGTTAAGACCACGAGTAATTCCAGTGTTTATGGCGGTAAGTGCTGTTGTTGTGCTGTGCACTTTACGGAAACCGTGCCTGAGCGTGGTGTAAGGGGGTGTGTGAAGTGCAGGGGTAGCAAGGTATCCAGTGTGTTCGCGACCGGGGAAAGGAGCATTTTTGGGTGATAAGACTGCTTTGTTGGGTGGCTTCCACGGTTTCAGCAGTAGGATTACTCTCCCTGATTTCCAAACATCAGGAATAATGCGAGTGACCCTTGACAAGTTGAGAACCTTTGTGACCCAAATGCGTTAGCATCATCATGCTAATTCCTTTGGGTCCAATGCCTTTGGATGCTCTCGCCTTCTCGATGACTCAATGCTTGGCCTTAAATACCGAAGGATACAGTAGCTGCGTTCCAGGTGACCACCTCCCATAAGGTTTATTAATGGAGAAAACAGCTGTTCCTGCAAATCGTGAATTTCGTGAATATCGTAAGCATCTGGAACGCAACTATTATGAACTGCCGGATAAAATAGCTCGCGCATTTCTTTGGGTACGATGAGATTTCCACTCTATTTTCACGTTTCGTTGGATTAGGCAGGGATCCCACGGTTGACCAGAGCTTACATTAGGGACGAAGTTGCAGGTCTTCAAATGATGGTCCCACTTTTTCCGCTTATGTTGGTTTACCAGTTTCCGAATCTCCAAATTTAGGTCCCTTAGACGGCGATGCCCGGGATCGAAATGGCGTAGGTAGTTATGCTAGCCTTACCAGGCTTGAGTGCCAATGATCGTGGTGCATTTTGAATACCATATCGTCACTAGATACAAATAAAGGCGCGAGCTCAAAAGTTGACCGCGAAAAAAGACGCATAACAAGAAATTCAGCGAAGAAAGGCGCCCAAACCTAGTCGACGGCGAAGAAAGACGCATTAACTTATTTTTGCGGTCAGCTATGCTTGCGGGTGTAATAGTATGTAAATTAGGGTGGTCCAAAAACGCATGTGGAAAAAATAAAGTCGGAATTTTTATGCTCTCCCCCCCTAGGATTTTTCTATACCGAAAAAAATATACCCCTATTTTTTTTATTTTGAAATCAAAAAACATTTAGCGGTCGCTCAAAGCGCTCAAAGTTTCCCATGTATTTTTAGAGGGGAAAAAACTTTTCGTAGAAATGGTATAGAATACTTAAAAATCAATATTTTTCTATCGGAAAACTTTGTTCCTCTGCAGGAGACTCCCAGCAATAGTACCCAATTGTTTATTTAAGCATTTTTTTCATCGCAACTATAATATATAGGTCCGCCAAAAACCCGTAAGAACCCCGAAAAATGCAATGGGAGGACCAATAAAAAATCATAATATTAAAAAATTGTTAAATAAACAATTAAGTATTCTTACTGAAAGTCTCCTGATGAGAACCAGAGCTTTCCGATCGAAAAATATTGATGTTCCACAATTCTATGCCATATCTACGAAAAGTTGTTTTTTCCATATAAAAATACATGGAAAACTTTGATCGCTTTGAGCGACCTCTAAATATTTTTTAATTTCAAAATAAAAAATAGGTATACCTTTTTTTACTATAGAACAATCCTAGGGTGTTCTGACACACGGAGCAGATTGTGTGGGCAACCAAGAGCTGATAATTGGCCCCCGCGGCCCACCACCCAAACTCACCTGACATGAAAGGCAACTCCGACTGCCAATTACTGGGATGCAAAAAATCCATAATGCCCCGTTGCACAAGCGCCTGCGCCGGCCGCGCGTACAACAAATCCATGTCCGTAAAATGTCCGAATGTAACATTCATGTCGGTGTGGAATATGGCCTCCTCCTCTGGCTGCGACGTATAGTTGAAATACAGCCATTCACTGCCTATCAAATTGTATTTGCGATAACGTGAGATCACAGCACCGCCACGATCGAACACTACATTCGTATTGTAAATGGGGCAGCTGGCAATTAAATTTGCGATTTCATGTGATTGTGTGCAGTTCTGTACCTCCACCACATTGATGAGCAGATATAATTGCAAGGAGCGCGCATAGCAAGATACTTCGCTGATGATGTAATCGTAGAGAGCGGCATCAACGCCACAAGGTACCACAGTGTCGCTGGGCGTGGGGACGACTATCGGGGTTTCGCGATCGTTTAACACATCCTCCGGGAACACCACAATATCTGGACGTATGGCGGCATCCTCGAGCAGTCGTTCAAATTGACGTATGCGCGCTCGGGTGGATGCAGCTCCATTTACCGTACGCGCCGGAAATTCAACCACAGCGCCAATATAGTAGTCAGCAGTGGGAAGAGTTGGCTGTGTAAGATTTTTTTAGTTTTTGATTATAGTTGTTTAATTTCTGCGCTTGTTACCTCGCCGCTTATGGCCGCAATGCACGAACCACAGTATATCCAATAATTCAGTAATTTCTGCAGCCACATTTTCACTGCTATGCGCTGCTCGTCTCGACTCTAAACTTAAGACCAGTGGGTAAAATGAAAATTAATTTACTCCATCCTATGCTTTTAACCTTCAGCCGCACACCATTTGCTGCTCATAAATTCTTTCGTTTTGCATATTTTTGAATGTATCTAATCAGCCGTTCTTTCTAGATTTGTATATTGGGTTATCACTTTGATAATATCGGCATTTTTTATGATCGTTTGGCTTATCAGCTAGTTACCAAAAAAATCAGGAGAGCATTCAACTGTGATTTCTCCGTTTGTTGTTACAGCAGAGATCAGTTGAATGTATGGCCTAAGAAAATTAAAGTCTGACTAAAGGCGCTACTTGCATATCATTGGCTTAGATTTCTTTTTCAATACCCGAAAGAAGCATACTCACAGGCGATTACTAAAGTTTTCTATATCTGCATTTTTTGATATGGAACACAAAATAAAAACTGATATAAATCTGGTACGTTAAGGTTGCCTATATCCGATTGTAGAGGGTGTGCAACGGGCTTTTAATCAGCTGCTCATATACAATATATTTGCATTTCAAACAACAATTTTTCGTTTAACTAATGCATACAAAAATGAGTGTATCATTGTGTTATTTTACAAAAAAAAATGTATATCGTAACTAAAGGTTAACAATAATAATATTTAAATTGTACGCTAGCTAATTGAATTATTCAGCGACTGGCGCTACGTCCACATCATTGGTTGTCTCAGTTGAAGTCACAGCCATTTCCTCCTGCTCATCCACAGCCATTTCCTTCTCGTCAGCAGGCACATCAGCCTTTGGCGCCTCAGCAGCCGTAATAGCCGCCGCCGCTGCGGCAGCCGCAGCCTCTTTAGCTTTTTCATACTTGTTGACTTCTGCGGAAAAGGAACAAACAATTTGGATTGTCTACTCCTGTAGCTTAGCAAGATTGTAATGACTTACCAAACTTGCTTATATCGGCACCCAATAGACGCAATACATGCACTGTCTCATTGGTGTCCACATAGGCGCGCAAGCTAGAAGAACCGCGCCAACCTACAAGGAATAATGTGAAACGTGGATCCTCGTATTTCAATATACAGCTGCCAACACCTGTTAAAATTATTAATACTAGCCATCGCTAATTGATAATTTTTGTTTCCTACCCAATTCTTTGCAACGCTCTTGAGTTTCCGGTGCCAACTGCAGCGTTGAAGGTGGCTTAGTGGGATCCGTACAATTGAGCAGTAAAATCAAATCTTCCCTTGAGATTTCTATGCGGCGTATAGCGCCCATAAATGCGTTTGATGTCTGCAGACCTTCTTGGGCCAAGCGGAACGGATGCATCGTGTGACGATTCTCGCAGCGTACAAAAGTTTTCACGCCTGTGTTAATGATTTTTATGGTATCCTCATTTAACAAAACCATATCACGTATAGGCTCTGAGCAGTAGTAGATATTCTTTTTCTTATCGGTGACGCAGCGTGTGAGCAGGCAACGTTTATTTAGCGTATCATCGAGAGCAAAGAATGATTTGAGCTCATCCCAATCGGCGTCCTGCTCCTCGAAGAATATGTACGGATCTTCTTTGTAGCCATGTAGACGACGGCGCTTTCGCTGTGGTCCCCATGGCACAGATTTTTCCTCGATAGGTTGACCATTTTCATCTAATTTCACCTCGGGTTTGGGCTTTTCGAGCAGCGACTGTAAGTCGTTCTTCTCGAAAGGTAATTGACGACGTTTTTCAATGACAGCGACAAAGAAACCACCAGAGTCTTGAAGGTGGGGAAGCACGCGTATGCTGTAAGCATGTTTTATTTTGGAACTTGTTAACTAATAAACGTTAATTTAACAGCTTTCACGTACCATTTTTCTAAACCGATTTGTTCAATTTGCTCCTGTGGCAGCGGAAACATATTAGGTCTAATGATAGTGTGATACTTTTCAGGCACCTCATCGAAACTGGTAAATATTTGGTCAACTTCCTTTGTTGCCAACTTCCAACTGGTCATACCAGGCTTATATTTTAATCCTGGCACTAAATGCGAAGCATCTACAATCTCTAAAGCGCCATCTGCATCAGCAATAATACGTTGCAACACAGCCTCATTCTCAATAGGATTTAAGGAGCAGGTCGAGTAGACTAAACGGCCGCCAACGCTGAGCATTTCAGCGCCACGACGTGTAATACGATACTGAATACTGCAAGCAAAAACATTTGTATTAGTGTCACATAAAAATAGTTGATTATTTACCCATGCAAATTGTAGGCCTGTGCTAAATTCCATTTGGTCCAAATGTCAGGATTCTTGCGTAGCGTGCCATCACCAGAGCATGGAACATCGCATAAAATCTTATCGAATTTCAATATTGATTTACTACCATCTGCTTTACTTTCCTGAAACATTTGTTACCAATACTGTTAATGTACAATACTTAAAGCGGACTACCTACCAGCAAATTAGGAAAGAAACTGCTATCATGATTGGTTACCACGAAACAAGGTGAATTAAGCCTTTTCGCTTGGTGCACCAACATATAACAGCGATTATTATCTACATCATTGGCAA